ATAGAGGGAACAGAGAAGCCCCTTTGATCACTGTCACACCAGAGCCATGCTGAGAAGGAAAAGGTAGTGGACTTTGGCCTATCACGAATGTCCCCAGTGTCTTGTGTCTGACCTGAAAACATGACGCATTTTGGAATCCTCTCACAAGCTTGGCTGGATACAGTGGCCTAGAGATACTCAGCCTCCACCCTTGAGGAACAATACTTTTAAAGGGCAACAGTGCACCATAATACAACTCTTGCACAAAAAGGCTCAGGGATCACTGTGGAAGATGGGAAGGAAAGATCAGGAAATTGGATATAAGACGATGTCTCCTAGGAGTGTCAGAAGCTATGCATGTGAAGTCATCAACATGACTGTCCAAACCTGAGCTGAATAAGGAAAATAACAGACATGCTAAAGTGGACGGGGGAAAGACAATAAGGCCCCAACGTTACTCAAAGGAGTATGGGCAACAAAGGAATGCTGACAGCTAGAAAAATGGTCCTCCTTAAGGAAGAGCACACCAACTGGTTATCTAATACCATGTGGTTAGCTCTGGAAACCACACATTGAAGTAACATTATATAGACTGAACAGCTTGTATTAATATATTTAGGGATATATATATATATATATATATATATATATATATATATATATATATATAAATTGTGTGTGCATGTATACACACACACATACACATAATTAATGAAAAGAGAGACTATGAATTTAAGAGAGAGCAAGCAGAGGTATATGAAAGAGTTTGAGGGAGGAAAGGGAAGGAGAAAATGATATCATATTGTAATCTCAAAAAGTGACAGAGGTTCATATCTTTAAAGGCTGCCGTGCCCAATCAATGTCCAAGCCTACATTTCACGCCTTCAGTTGTGCACCCTGTGAGTTGAACGTCTTTGCTTCTTCAGCCCCCCTGCTTTCTAATTCCAAAGGCATTTAGGCTCAACCACATGCTTCATTGATCTCTCTCTAGCTCCAAAACTAAGCATTGGTTCCCCATCTCCAAAGGGCTGATAGAATTCTATCCCGTGGAAAACCACACCTCTGTGTTTTCACCCTTATCTCATACAGTCCAGCCATCGTGGAACCTTAGAAGAGAACCTGACAGAAAAAAATGAGACAAGGTGAACTTGGTCCTCTGGGGCAAGTGGTTTCAGTTATGGGTGCCTAGACATATCCCAAACACAGAGTGCTTACACTGTAGCATAGCTTTCAAGCCAGACAGGTTCCCTCAGAAGGCTCTCACAAGAATGAGCTAAGGACTGAGAGAACGCACAGGTATAGACAAAACAGAGCCACACCAATCAGACACAGGAAGTACACATTGCATGCTCCAACCCACACACTTGCACTAGGTGTGTACACATGTACTTGTGTGTCTATATGCACACTCGCACATTCACTTACATTTTTTCAAGCCACCGTTCTCCTAGGCCACGCTGGCAATAGCAATATGGGGAGACAAGGGCAGGATGGACCTGGGGCCACCCACATCTTCTTTGTTATGACCCATGGTAGCCCTTACACACGGCCTTTTAGAAGACCTTCTCCCAATATCTAAGTACAAGCTAATGAGCATTTCAACCAGGCTCTACCAACATTTAAGTCTAACGGTGTTAAGGAATGAGCTGCTGCAGTGAAATATACACTTTTTGGTTTCCCCAGAAAACTCTCCCCGCCCCATTTTAAAAACTAGTTCTTTGAGAATTTTGTAGAATGCATTTTGGTCATATTCACCCCTTCCTTGACTCCTCTCAGATGTCCCCCTTCCCTACCTACCCAACTGATGGCCTACTTCTTTTAAATCATGTCATGATAGTTGGATGCGTGGGCCTCCACTAAGAAATCCAACTGGATCGTGATACAGGATACCCTAATACGATAGAATGCTGCATTCATAACTAACTCTTAGGAATGGATGCTGTATTTCTAAAGTAATGATAAGGAAGACACACACGTGCATGCACGTGGGCACACGCAAGCAAACACACACACACACACAGACACACACACACGAGTGCGCGAGTGAGCGAGCGGGCACACAGCACAGGAGATTGTCAAATCCTAATTACACATACCAATAAAACTGCCAAGGAGAAGAATTTGTTAGAACCTGGAGGATCTACCCTGTGACAACAATTACACAATTAAATGTCAAGCTTTTACCTCTGCTCATAAGAGAGTCAAATCCAACACTATGGCACGTCCACAGGACCAAGATGAAATGAGTGACATCTAACCTGGGTCATTTAAAGGAATTATCCCTGGGAGGGATAAGAATTATATTTCTTCAGATTATACACAAATGTTCCTCCACCTGTGATGGAGTTATATCCAGATAAACCAGTTAATGGCCTTTCTACTAATCTGATAGCTTATTTTGATTCTGTATCACTAGACAGACAGACAGACAGAGATGATAGGAAGAAGACCGCTATATCACACACATATATACACATATACATATACAAACACATATATGGAAATTAATTAAGTGTCTGAAGCTGGTCTGTGATTGTCATACCCCCAGCTTAAAAATGTTTATCAAATTAAAATTTCATTTTAAAACTGACTTGATGACATGTTCAAGTGAATTATGGTACACTAAAATAAGCATAATGAAATGCTAAGTCCCTAGATACAAATTTTTTTATAAAAAATTTAAAATTACCAGAGTATTAGAAAGAGCACATAATGGAAGGCAAGATGCAGAGCACCCCATCCCTCAAGTGCTATAAGGTTGCACTTATCCCACTGTCACATTAAGAATGGTTACTCCCTGTCCCTGCATGAAAAGACATGCCTCTTTAGGAACTGATACATATGTGCCAGGGAGGTCACATAAGGATGTTACACCACTGGGGGATGTGTGGCTAAGTGTCAAACAAATAGGCTGAAAGTATCAGAATCCACAGGGTGAAGTATTGATCCTCCCATATGACTATATTTTGAAACACGGCTTTGATAAGTATAATTAAATAAGGTTAAATGATATCATAAATGTGGGCTGAAATCCAGTGTGACTGATGTCCTCATAAAAAGAAAGAGATCAGGAGCACAGAGAAGTAAGAAAATGGTGTGAAGGCAGCCATCAGTAAGCCATGGCGAACCCTCATCAGAAACCAGGAACCTGGTTTCCTGGACCTGGACCAGTGGCCTCCAGAACTGTGAAGTCTAAGATTTTGCCACCTGAGATACCCAGGCCCTTATAGCATTTTGTGTTGAAAATTGTCATGAGAAAAGTATTTAAAGTGGTATGAACTATTGAGTAGGTAAGAGAAGGACATTTGGTCTTCCACAAGGGGTGGGGTGTAAGAGTCATATCATAAGGATAGTTTATATATTCACAATAAAATGAAAGGTAGCTATCAATCACGTGAAAGAAAAGCACATGCCCCAGTGAATATTATTCACAGACATGAAGCTTCTTTCATCTGTACTCCTTCCTTCCCTGTGATATATTAACCATGCAACACGGTACACAACAGCCTCTCGAGTTCTCAGCCAGGTGCTGCAGGACACATGGCGTGGAGACCCAGGCTCAGCTCTGCACAGCACAGAGGCTTCTGGGGAATCAGGAAGTATAGGGCCAGGGCTAGGTGAGGAACTAAATGCCTCCTGAGCCTAGGCAAGAAGCAGGTACAGGGAGAAGTTGCATTTTCCAGAAAGAGCTATGCTATGAACTTTGGAAGGAGGACCACTCCAGCACCACATTCCCTGTAACCTCACAGCCCTATACTTTTCTACAGCCCAGCCAGCTTGAGCCTGGCTCAGCTACTCCACAAGGAAAACAAGGCTGGCATTGTCTTTGCCCAGGGATTGCATCATGGAACCAGTCCTAAGGCCCAGATATCTATAGGCTGAATTTTGACATCTTATTCTCTGATCCGTTTTGAAGACTGATAAAGTAAAGAAATAAAATATCACAAACTGCAACATGTAGAATAAATGTTGGCTGTCGTCATACCAAATTTTGAAGGGCCTCATTAAATCACCTAATCAAGGCAGTCATCATATGTGTTAAGAAACTTGAGTCACCCAGTTCAGTCACATAGAGTCCTAACAGAGGCCAAGGTTACCCAGAGCTGAGACTCCATGGTAACAGGTTGTTAACATCTGAACTGTACAATATTAGATATGATGTCAATCCTATCTGGCTTCCCATCGTTTTTCTGTAATTCAAAGCATATGAGCATATGAGATTCCTAACTTTTCTTTGGGTAAGAGAATATTTGCGCCTTCCCTGTATGCAAGAACAGGTGACACAGAAGGATGCTCTGGGTGTCTCCTCTTAGACAGGAACACTGTCTATGCTTTAAAAAAGGTTTTAGATTTTGCTGGTGGTTTGGGTTTTGTTTGTTTTGTTTGTTTTCCAAGAAAGGGTTTCTCTCTGTATTCCTGGCTGGCCTGGCATTTGCTTTGTAGACCAAGCTGGCCTCAAACACAAGAGATCTGGCAAACTCTGCCTCCCAAGTGCTGGGATTAATGGTGTGCACCACCACACCCAGCAGAAGAAAGGTTTCTATGTGAATCCTTTAAGAATGGAAGGGCCATTCGGGTATCGCTGAAATAGGAAAGGAAGAAGACCTACATGTGAGGGGCAGGTAATAAAGAGAAGAAAGGAAAGACAACACACATTTTTCCACATCTGCATCCACATCTCAGTACTGTTCAGACTAGAAAGCAAGCTGCCAGGACAGACAAGACACTTAGAGATGATTACACTCTCAACTTGGACATCTTGGAGCTACCTGGCAGCTCTTGCCCATGGTTTGACTTGTTATAACATTCTTTTTCAACCCATTATCTATAACAGATGCCTTCTGTCATAGGCAGCCTCAAAACTCACCTGAAAAGGAAACAGAGCATAACCAAGGAACCAATTTACAAGAGAGGCAACAGAAAATATTAAGCTTGTTTGGGGAGATGGGGGTAACTCCTTCAGACTCTTAAGTCCCATGATGCATCATGTCTTTGAATCACTGTCAGTGATGTAAACTTACCAACGGTGTCACAAGGTTCATCTTTGTGAACGCAGAAATCTGTCCTAAAAAAGGAAAAAAGATACAGTCTGATGTGTGTGGTACTCTGCAAGAATAGGAGAGGAAAATCACACACTAATATTGGTTGGTGATCCTGTAATGTTGTTGCTTTAATTTAGACGAGTAACAATGTCTGTCGAAAGTAAACCATCTATGCTCGCTCTAAATGGGTAAGCTCAGTTACCATATGGAAGAAGCCCATATTAAAATGTTTAGTTTTTTTTTTTTTTTTGCATTTATTTGTGGAGTGTGCACGCATGTGCCATAGCACACAGGTAGAGGTCTGAGGGAGTCCGTTCTCTTCCGGAGGTGGGCTGTGGGGATAGAACTCAGGCCATCAGGCTTGGTGGTAAGTACCTTCACTCACTGAGCCACCTCATTGGCTCAGGACTCCCTCTACAGCTGAACTTCTCCACACATAGCTGCTGGAGAGAAGTTATTTTTTTCAAAAGTTGGAAAAATTTAAAAGGCCTTTTTGATCAGAGACAATTAACTACTAGTCAACTGTAGCGGTAATTAGTCAACTGTAGTGGTAGCTCACAGCTACTCAACTTGGATAGCTGTAAGGGCCATTCCTTATATGAGTGGAAAGGCAACAAAAAGCCATTTCTAAATGTCATTTTTTTTTTTTAAGCTCTCAGAGATCTCCCAGGTGTGCAATTGAGGATGAGTGAGAAAGCAAAGGTCCGAAGCCTGCTCCAGGCTGGGCCCTGCAGAACCTGTGGGTTTACAATCACCTCTCTTGATGAGATGAAGGATTGAGCTCGGCTTTTCCACCAACAAAGATCCCCAGGCTTCCCTCTAAAATTCCCACAGTTAGTAGCCAACCACAGAGCACCAGTAAGATCAGCATCCTGGCGCAGAAAAGGAGATAGAGGAGGAGAATGACAGTCTCCAAAGCAGCCACAGTCCATTCTCCAATAAATAGACAGACAGACAGACAGACAGATCCTAGAGGTAGCCAGATACTAAGCATAGTATGACAGCAGGTGGCAGCCCTGGTCCCAGCTGACTAACACTGCCATGTTTCCACTCCAGCATTCAGGTCCTCGATTCTTGCTTTCATTCTTGTCTCATCTACTCACAGAAATGACCCCAGGAACCATGCAGGGGCTGCCCCTTTCCTTCCACTCTATCCACCGTCATCTCTGTGTGCATCCCAGGCCACACTCATCCCCAGTGTGCTGTGTGTTAAGGAAGCAAGCCCTGAGAGTGTCCATCCCTCAGCATACTCCTGCTAGCCATGGATCCCAGCAGACCCCTCTCACCCACAGGCTCTGGATCTGGAGGCCTAAAGGCTCTGCTTGACATTTTGAGGCACAGATTCCCAGGCCTAGGCTGACAACTGAGCATCTTGGGACAGAGGCACCTCACCAAGCACACTGGGCATCCTGTAGGCCAGAGGAAATGGCAGGGCAGGAGGCATGGATGGGAATGACAGCTTCTAAGTGTTGCCAGAGAGGAAGCAGGGAGGTAACAAAGGTTTGCTGTATCTGCTGCTCAAAGGGTTTTGCTTCTGAAAATTTCAAAGTTTTTCATAACATTTATGTATACTTTGGGTTATCTTTTTTTGGTCAATTTATTATAATATTATCATTTATCAACTGATAGGTAAAATAGCAAATAATTATACAATGCAAATATGAGGTTGGGTGTGTATATTGTGAGAGGATAAAATCTAGATAATAGAAACATTCATCACCTCAGGTTTGTTTGTGGTTTTTTTTTTTTTCCTTTGTGGGCTTTTTTTGTTTGTTGGTGAGAATACCTAAAATCCACTTTCGCAGTGGTCCTTAAGCATAGAGCATTGTGAATTTACAATAACTATCTAGAACTCAAAGAGAAAAATAAAAGCCTTTAAGACTACCCACTATTATGAAAAAAATTAAACCATTTATTATCACAATCTTAACCCCAAACCAAACAAGTTTTGTGGAAATGAAGCAGTGTTAAGTGGTCAAGGCAAGCTTCCTGTCCTTGCTTTGCTGCTTTGCTCTTGGGTTTTCTGGTTAGGAGGCTACTGGACAGGAAGCAGAGGGGGAAGGAAGAAAACTGATGAGGTGCTGAGGACTGGGACCTGCGGGGGAATCCCAGCATGACCTTCAGCCAGGCCTGCATACTGCGCTGGGGAGAAATGGTGTGTGCCTGTCTTCCTAGGTCAAGTTCAGAAGCAAAGGTAAAGCCACTAGGGTGAGAGCTCCAGTCCTCTGTGTGGCCCTGGCTGGCCTTCAACCACAGTACACATGGTGGCTGTCTACAGCCTAGACACACACACACACAGCTGCAGAAAAGCTGACTGCTTCTGCTAGCCATGACATCATGTTCCCATCCTCTGTAGCAGCCAGTGTCCAGGAGAACAGCTCCCAGGCTTAGCCACCGGCCAAGAGAGAAAGAAAAGAAATCCCTCACACTAGCCAAATGCAAGGCCAGAATATAGGGATGCTGTCCCCTGAACAATGCCTGGCCTATGAGATTTCCTATTAGACACTTGGCTAGGGTTAACTCTGGGCAGAAAGGACACCTCTCTAAAGCAGCTGCTGCCCTTGCATTCCATTTCCCTGCAAAACATCAACCTGCCATTAGCTCAACCTCAGGAATTGCAGCCCCGATTTTAGTTATACACCAGGCTTCTCAGCCCGCTCTTATGCCACCCACTCTAGTGCTGCCGCCCTGCCCTGGAAGGAGTCAACATTTACAAAGACAGCCTCTGGGGATCCCTGAGGTGTCATCATGAAAAGGAAAAAGCAAACAGGCCCCTAGGCATGTGTGTGTTTGTCTGTGTGTGCACTTGCGTGTGCATCTGTGTGGGTGTGTGCTCGTTTGTGTTTGTGTGCATGTGCGTTTGTGTGAGCACTTGTGTGTGGGGGGGTTCCAAAAGATTATGTTAATTTCTCCTCACCTCAGTTTTTTGAGACAAGGTCTCTCACTGAAACTGAACCTTACCCACTAGACTACAGCAGCAAGCCAGCAAGCTCCCATCTCTGCCAAACGCACACCAGTGAGCCCAGCTCTTTCACTTGGGTTCCACAGGCTCAAACTCAGATCTTCATGAATGGAAAACATGTCACTGACTAAGCCATCTTCCCAGACCCCTGGTTGATTCCATTGTTTAAAACAGGATTTCACATAGCCTAAAATCTCACATCAAACTCACTATGTAGGTACAGGTGACCTTAAACACCTGACCCCCGTCTTTACCACCCAAGTACTGGGATCATGGACACGTATTACCTTCCTTGGCTATTTGTGGTTTTAGAAAAGACCTAAGCCAGAAGTTTTGCCAGCTCTGATTTTGATGACATTTATTTTCTCTGAAGGAAAAAATAAAAAAGAAGAAGAAAAGCTTTCATTCCCAGAACAGGACCATTCCCAAATGCTTTCTCTCTCCCCTTCTGGAGGTCTCTGTAAGTCTTGGTGATGGTGACAACTTATAATACTGTATACTGGAAACTGATAGGTGCATTTAATAGTCTCACCTCAGAAACATTAGTAAGATGGGTAGGTTACAGACATATTTGCTAGCTTCTCATGAAAGGAAATAGCGGGAAGTCGAAAAGCTTTTTAAATATGGTATCAGGAGAGAATCCTCTAAGTTAGTAATATTTTTAATAGACACTAGATAGTGTTTATAGAAACTACTCTCAAATTGGGGATACTGTAAGTTTTAGCTGCAAATTCCAGTCCCGAGGTTGTTTAAAACAAGCTCTTCTCTGTGAAGGACTTTTAGACCTCATTTGATTAAACCTAATTCATTTCATGTAGGAAATTAATCACACAATTTATGGTTGTGCATAAACATGGCTCCACAGGCCTCCTGCTCACTTAACAAGTAGAGTCCACTCTCTGAACGTCAGCACAATCCTTCAGGTGTTCTACAGACAGTCCCATCGGCCCCCTGAACGCCATTCCCGAGTGCATGGTAGCAGTCTCTAGCTGGGGAAGATGGAGTCCCAGCACTTCTAAGGAAGAAGCACCCAGAGAACCCAGCACTCACTGGCTGGCAAAGCCCAGACTTAAGGCAGGCATGCCAGCTAGTGATCCTACCATAGCTACATAACTATTTAAGAGACTGCTCAGAGCATCCCACTAGACATTTAATAGAACCCCAGAAAAGTAGCAAATGTTCTCACAGGGAACAAGCATGCCTACAGAGGGCCTCTCAATCCCAGGGGCTGGCAACTGACAAACTTTTTGGAAGAGGGATCAGGCATCTGTCAGTAATCTGGTAATGGCAAGGTATATGTTCTCATATTCTCTCTCTCTCTCTCTCTCTCTCTCTCTCTCTCTCTCTCTCTCTCTTTCTCTCTCTCCCCTCTTTCTTTTTTTCTCTCTCTCTTTCTCTCTCATCTATCTATCTATCTATCTATCTATCTATCTATCTATCTATTGATCTATCTATCTATCTACTCCTTGGGGGGTGGGTGTGGATATGTGTGGGTACACATATGTGTGGGTGTACATATGTATGGGCATGAATTTAGGGGTAGAGGTCAGAGGTCAGCCTCAGATATTCTTCTTCTTGAGTAATCCTATTGGCCTGGGGACTGTTAATTAGGATAGGCTGGGCTAGTCAGTGAATGCCAGGCATTCTCCTATCCTGTCTTTGACAAACCAGTACTAGAATTACAAGCTTCTTTTCTTCATTTCTTTCTCTGTGTGTGTGTGTATGTTTGTGTGTATGTGTGTGTGTATGTTTGTGTGTATGTGTGTGAGTGTGTGCACATGTGCGTGCATGTGCACATGTGTATGCACATATATGTGTTTATATATGTCTGCATTGTGTGCTAGAACTGTATCCCCAGAAGAGATTGGTTAAGTGCCTATGGATGTGACTTTACTTAAAAAAGAGAGCCTGGGCATAACGCAGTTGAGAAATGGTCACAATGGTTGAGGTAGGTCCTAATCCAAAGATGATGTCCTCCTAAGAATCCTGACACAGAAAGACATGGAGAGAAGGCCCTGTGCTGGTGGAAGAGACACTCAAATGAGGTTTCCACAAGCTAGGGGCTGCCAACAGTGGCAACAGCAACCAAAAGGGGAGAAAACAGAGAATGACCCCCCTTTGAGGATTTGGGGAGAGTGGGGCCTTACCAATACCCCAATTTTGAATGTGAGGGGATAATTTTCATTACTTAGGGTCATATGATTTTTGTCAGTGGCTATGATGACACTAGGAAATTATGGCAGTGTGGTTGCTTGTGGCTTCAGAGGCTGCCCTGGGTTTCTGCTATGTACTTCTTGCCCCCCTGGGCCTAGAAGGATAATAGCAGCTAGAAAAGAACCGTAACCCCTGCTTCAGAGTTCTTCACTTGATGTCCATGGGCGTCTAAAAAGATGGAGTTTTCTAGGGGGGTTCCCGTGGTCCTGTGGATGGTGTGTCCTGCAAGGCTGTGCAGGCCACCCATGGGCCCACCTGGAGGTCTCCCACAGGGAATTCCAGCACACATTCCCCTCCCTAACATGTTGCCCAAGTCAATCTGCAGCAGCCACAAACCCTCTCAGTATCTCTCTTACTAGCATGCTACTGAGAAGGAGGGGGAGGAAAGGAGAAGTACATGGATTTCTAGAAAGTTCTAAGTCTCTGGTTACCTAGAATTTCAGTATTCTTCTAATTCTGTCAACAGAGCTTCTGATGGCTAACACTGTGGGTTAGGCATTCCTTATAGAAAATAGCTTTGTTATGTTGTTGTTTTTGTTGTTCTTGTTTGTCTTTGTTTTTTGTTTGTTTTGTTTTTTGCTCAACCCTCAAAGGCTGAACCTACAACAATCTCATTTGACCAGTGAGGAACCTGAAACCTAAGCAAGTAGATAGAGGCTCAATCCAAGTGGACAATCTAAGTCTGGATTGCTAACATGCTCTCACAAGGGGACTGTCTTTCTCCTCTTGCGCCAGGCTCACCTGGTCACAAATACAGCAGCATCCACAGGAGGCGTATCATCCTTCCCTCCTGGTACCTGGTTATTGCCAAGGTAACGTGCTCCTCCATACTCCTCATTCTGCCAGTGACAGAAGCTCTCCAGGGACCGCTCACCATGGTGCCCAATGGATAACTTGGCCTAAAAGAAATTGAAGAAGGTGGTCAAAGATAGTGTCATCCAGGAAGCCAAATTTGCCCCAGTCTATATTACTAATGATAGATGCTCTCGAACACAGAATTCAATAGATGCCCTGAGTTAGCCTAGAACCAAAGGATGTTCAAGAGGCCCCAAGGGCAACCATTATGGATTTTATCCACAAGTTCAAATAGTGGCTGTTATTAAAGCAAACCAAAATACTTCTCAGAAACAGAACAGTCTACAAAATCAGTGCACCCTCTTGACTGAGGTGCCAGTGCAGGTAGCACTGGCTGAAAGGGAAGCACTCAATTGAAACACCAAAAAATGAGGCTCTGCTGGGTCCCAGTGAGGCAAGAGCTCCAGAAGGAAAGTCCCACTTCGGAGACCTCATCCAGCTTTCCACATATGTGAAAGCCATATGCCAGACCTTCCAGGAGCAGGGGAAGATGTGCATGAGCCCATGGCTCAGTGGTCCCTGAGATTTAAGCAGCTTGTATACACCCATGGTTCCAGACAAACTCTTTCTCTTCTCTCACAGGGGTGCCATTTTCAAAGCCAGGAGGGTGAGCAAGCCTGTTTTCCTGAAGCCCTCCCTAGCAGACAAGCCAAACCCATTAAGTTCTCAGCATCCTCTGAAAGGCACCCATAAAGACTTACAGGGCGTTGTCGCAGAAGGACCAGCTTGGTGACTTGAATGTTAATTTTAATCCCGAGACTATGGTGCTGAAACATGTTGTATACCTAGCAAGAGATATAAAAAAAAATAAAGATACAAATATAGCTTTTTAAGTAGAGCGGTGTTCTGGATGATGGGTTGGAACAGAGAAAAGTTACTAGATAATGACTAAAGAAATCTGCATAAACTATGGATATTTGATTAAGGTATTAGTCAATAGTGGTCTCTTGCTTACTATCAACCATACTCAATAAATGCAAGATACTAAAAAATATAAAAAGATGTGCATGTGAACTCTCCCCTATCTGCTCAATTTCTCCATACTTTTAAAACTTGTCTAAAAAACACAGTATTGATAAAAAAAACTTTAAATGCACTTTGTATTCTTCTAGTATGAGAAAAACTAAAAATAATAATTAACATGTAATTTAAATTTCAGAGTGAATAAAATAAGATTTATGCAAAAATATGTATATATGTATACACACACACACACACACACACACACACACAGAGATGAGAACATTTTCCAGATTCTCTTAACATTTTCTGAGACTTAAAAGCCTCACTAAAGGAGAATCCAGGGCCAAAGAGTTCAGCAGGTAAAGCTGCTCACTGCACAAACCTGATGACTCAAGTTCAATCTCTAGAACTCGTATTTAACACTTGCTACTAACACCATCCCCCAAAACTCCCAATAGCACACATCTATAATCCCCACATTCCTCAGAGGAGAGGGAGGCAGAGACAAGAGAACCAGGTGGAAGCACTCAGGCCAGAGAACCTAGAGTATTCAGTGAAGCAGAAAAAACAAGACAGACCTCCCGGCTTCAGCAAGGTAGAAGGCAAGAAGCAACTCCTGAAAGATGTCCTCTGACCTCCACAGATGACTGTGGCACAGGCATGCTTGTACTCATACATACATGACATATACATACATACATACATACATACATACATACATACATACACTCAATTAATTAAAGGAGAATTCATATCCACCTAATATATATGATAAAAACTTCTAGAATCACATACATACATTACATTGTACATTACATACAAAAGGAAGAGGGAACCTAGTTGTTTCTTTTTTTTAAAAAGGTCCAGCACGGGCATTAGGGAGATGAGGAGGAGCAAAGACCACTTGTTGTTCTCCCAGATGACCTACACTCACTTCCCAGCACCACTGTCTGACAGCTCACGCTGCATGTAACTCCAGTTCTATGGAATCTGATGCATTCTTCTGGCCTCTACAAGCACTCATCTCTCTCTCTCTCTCTCTCTCTCTCTCTCTCTCTCTCTCTCTCTCT